ATCGGTTGCAACACGCCTTGTTATCACGACGCGGCAAAAGACCGGATGCCTGTAGGACTCCCCATTGGCTGGTGCCATGTCGCGCCACGTGGTTGAGTAGAATTACGTCCTCCTGTCGCACGAGACGGCATATATCAGAGTTAAATGATAAAATCTTCGCAGCAGCAGATTTTTTAGACTGTTTGGAAACATGTATCTGTCGAAGATCCAGTATTTTCTGCTAATCTACGATATGCAGTGCAACGGAGCTTAATATTCTCAGGAAAACGGAGCCAAGCATCTCATCCAGGTTGTAATCGCACCGCTGCATTCCATAGCGGTCCCGCTTGCCGAGCCGTTGATGTCATCGTTCCGTCGGACCGACTCGACGTCGACGTAGGTGCACGGACCAAGCCTTCACACCGAAACTCGTCGAGGCTCTTTGATGATATCAACGCTTTGCTTGAAATTAGTCGTTCAGAAGGTTTGACCTAACTAGCAACTTACTATCTAGAACTAGCGATGGTTGTGCTTTAGTCGTGAAGGAAGAAATGAGCGCGTAGTTGGGAAGGGGGGGTACCTTTTGGCTGCTATCGGCATCCATACATTATTCTTGATTCTTTGCGCATTTGTTTTCTTTCGTGAGGTGTCAGTCACACAAGTGCGAGGCTTGTGGTGTCTTGTGCACTGTACCATTGACTCAATCCAAGAGGGCAGGTCACAAGTGCGGTGAACAGATCTTGCAACAAGATGATCAGAATGCCCGTTTTATTGCCCGGAAAGTTCACTTGGGCGTGCTCTGGCTAGAGTCGAAAACCAGTTGGTGGTGACCTTGGATGAAACCCTCGATAAAGACGAGTGAGGGTGAGTGTGTGGTGGAAATTGCTTGAAACGGCGGAGTACCATGCGTGTGGGGGAAAACATGAAAGTTCAACAGTTTGAGTTGGGTCAACGGGGGACGGGGAAGACGGGGGGTGGGGGGGGGGGATGGGGGAGAAGGGCGAAGGGAGCAGGGGGAAGGGGGAGGGAGCCAGGGGAGGAAGTTGAGGAAAAGGGGGCACGGTGTAACTCACTGTTACAAATTTCCAAAATTGTGAGCGAATGTTATTTGTCGCTTCTCATCCCTTCCTGCTGGTCAGCTACAGTGAAAGAGATTCATTCGTGCGAAAAAATGACTACAGTCCATGTACAGTTATGTCAAGACAGAGGGAAACCAGCTTGGATGGCGGTTCAAGTCGCGCTCGACCGCACGGGTGAATACGGGCAGTTCAAACGTTTCACTTGGGGCAACCAAGCCCCTTTCAAGTCTCAGCACTTATCGTTTCGCCCATCAGTGTGTGGGGTGTGAACGTGTCTGGATCAGGGTGCGTGTTCACAAGCTGCAGAATCTACGTTATGTGCCAGCTGCCCGACTGAACAGGCCATGAACAACAGATAGCTGTTTGGGAAAGTATGCCAATGGTAACACACATGGGGCTCTTTAACGCATACAGTAACTATTACAGTACGTTTTCACGCGTTTGGTAACTCGTTTCACGCAATTGGTAACTTAGCACAGGTGAATGATCACGCGAATGGTAACTAGATGAAACTCCCGCCGAAATGATCCTGACTAAGAGGAATTTGTTAATTGAAAGATTTCACGCACCGTTTAATCGATCTTGAACGATTCCCGCCGTGACTTTGAAGGATCGCGTTTGTTCAATTACCACGGACCAAATAGTTTCAGAGCCGTTTCATATCTATTTTAAGCTCGGAAATATAGTACTAACAAGTACAATTATTTTTTTGCAAGCATGATTGCATTGTTGCAAATAAATGTGACAATAATTTTCCCGGAAAAGCGACAATAATTTTTTTTAAATAAATGTGTAATTAGTGCAGCGTGGGATAATTTTGGAGGTGGGAAAATATTACACCCTTCCGAATGGCATGCCTTTATTCTAGAAATAACATTGAACGCCCTGTCGCAAGGAGTTTAGGGTTGATGCTCTCAAAATCATTTGCCATCCGAAAGGGGTATATATAGTTTTTTCCCCGGTTGTACGATAGAATTAAATAAAATTAGTTTTCCGCGAGCGCCAGAATATCAGCATTATATGAGAAACGGTTTTCAAAATAGCAACTTTTCACAAAATAGTCCTAATTTCGGAAAGTGTGTCAGAATTTCGGAAACGTCTCAGAATTTCGGAGAGTGTGTCAGAATTTCGTGCTTCAGGACTCGTCAATTCAGTCTGGCGCGAGCGGGAAAAACCAGAATCAGGGTCAAGTTGGACGAGGGTTTCTTCTAGTTACCATTCGCGTGATGGCTTGCCAGTGTATAGAAACGCGTGAATCGAGTTACCAAACGCGTGAATCGAGTTACCAAACGCATGAAAATTCATTGTTATGGTTACCGTACGTGTTATAAAGCCCAATAGATGTTACCATTCGCATATTTTCCCTAGCTGTTTTCATACCTTAAAGCCCGAGTTCTACATGGTTATTTTCAAGTTCAAGATTCCTGAATATGCATTCGCCAAAAACCATGTTACCACCCGAAGTGGAGCATTCTCTCACGATAGTGATCTGTGATTGGCCAGCGACACTCAAAGTCATATCGAGCAGTGGGTCAGCAGGCAAGGCAGCACTGTTCACTTGAACTGAACTTGAAAACCATCTTGTACTACTTGTCAAGCATACTAGACATAGTTCACCCGTCATTCACGCCCAAAAATCACTCCGTTTGAGGGCACAACTCATGTACCAACTTTCGCAAGATGCTCCTGCTATATTCTCCCTGGTCTAGAGCTAGGTTGCTGGTCGCTTAGGTTCCCCCATTCGCCCTCGCTTGCCCGCGACGCTTTCAGTTCTTTGGCTCCCGTTACTCGTTTCCTCGCGTCGTCCACGATCGCGCTCCCTTCTGTTCGTCGCCCACGCTTCCAACCGTCGCTCCCTTCCATTCGCCTCCCTCCCTTCCGTTCGTCGCCCTCCCTTCCGCGCGTCGCCCTTCTCGTCGCTCTACCTTTCGCCCGTCGCCCTCCCATCCGCTCGTCGCTCTACCTTTCGCCTGTCGCCCTCCCATCCGCTCGTCGCTCTACCTTTCGCCCGTCGCCCTCCCATCCGCTCGTCGCTCTACCTTCCACACGTCGCCCTCCCATCCGATTGTCGCTCCCGTCGCCCTCCCTTCCGCCCGTCACCCTCCCTTCCGCCCGTCGCCCACCCTTCCGGCCGTCGCTCTCCCTTCCGCCGCCGCTCTCCCTTCCGCCCGTAGCCTTCCCTTTGTCTCGTCGCCCTTCCTCCCGCTCGTCCCCTCGCAATCCGCGTCTTCCTCTCTCCCCGTCGCCCTCGCCATCCCTCCCGTCTCCCTTCCCATCGCGCTCCCTCTGTTCTCTTCCCTGCTTCCCCCCATCCCCTTCCCTGCTTCCCACCATCCCCTTCTCTGCTTCCCCCCATCCCCTTCTCTGCTTCCCACCATCCCCTTCCCTGATTTCCCCCATCCCCTTCTCTGCTCCCCCCCAACCCCTTCCCTGCTTCCCCCCATCCCCTTCCCTCCATCCCTTTCCCTGTTTCCTCCCATCCCCTTCCCTGCTTCCCCATGTCCCCTTCCCTGCTTCCCCCCCATCCCCTTCTCTGCTTCCCCCCATCCCCTTCCCTGCTTCCTCCTATCCCCTTCCCTGCTTCCCCCCCTCCCTTTCCCTGCTTCCTCCCATCCCCTTCCCTGCTTCCCCATATCCCCTTCCCTGCTTCCCCATATCCCCTTCCCTGCTTCCCCCCATCCCCTTCCCTGCTTCCCCCCATCCCCTTCTCTGCTTCCCCCCAACCCCTTCCCTGCTTCCCCCCATCCCCTTCCCTCCATCCCTTTCCCTGTTTCCTCCCATCCCCTTCCCTGCTTCCCCATGTCCCCTTCCCTGCTTCCCCCCATCCCCTTCCCTGCTTCCCCCCATCCCCTTCTTTGCTTCCCCCCATCCCCTTCTCTGCTTCCCCCCATCCCCTTCCCTGCTTCCTCTCATCCCCTTCCCTGCTTCCCCCCATCCCATCCCCTTCCCTGCTTCCCCCCATCCCCTTCTTTGCTTCCCCCCATCCCCTTCTTTGCTTCCCCACATCCCCTTCCACGCTTCTCCCCTACCCCTGCCCTGCTTCCCCTCATTCTCTGCCCTCCCTTCCCTTCTCTCCCCATTCCCTCCCCCTTTGCTCCCCCTCTTCCGCGCAGCGAGCCATCGAAGCACCGCATCCAGCAGATCTTCGACTGGATCTGCCCCGAGGCGAACCCCTTCACACACACCGCCACCCCGCTCATGGAGCGGTACTTGCCCACTCCGCACTTCAGCTGGTTCTGCGAGATGGGCTTCTCTTCTGGTGGAGCTGCGAGACAGCCTCCTGTCGAGACTGCTTTCAGCCTCGCCTGCTGCCCCATACTTGGAAGCTGCTCTGCCTGACAGCCAACACTGTGCAGGGGATTTGAAGGTGGATCAGGGGGCAGGGGTAAGGGAGTTTGCTGTGCGGCATGGTCACTGCGGCGTGGCATGGGAGGAACGGGGAAAGGCAAGCACAGGGTGAAGGCAGGCAGGTGCTGTGGCAGGTGCTGTGGCAGGTGCTGTGGCAGGTGCTGTCGCCTGCCAGCACGCCAGAGGTACTCTTAGAGCACTCTAGCAGCTGTGAGAGATGCTTCTGTGATGATAGTGGTAGAAAGGGGGTATTGTGTATGCCCAGATCTCAGTGTTGACCCGAGCTCTTTTTCGTTATGCAACATGTGGATACCTGCCCTAATGCGGTTGCTGCTGACGTTTCTGATTATGCAATTGGCAGTCTTGTGAGTGCAGCACTTCGGGGGTACCGCAAACCTGACACCTCTCTCGAAGTTCAAGGGTATTGGGGTAACAGATTGCACAAAGACCGTAATAAGAGATGAAGTGAGCGCAAAGAATATACCTACCAAACACACACAACATAAATCCCCAAGACCAAACATAGAGTCCAAAAGTGGGTTGGCATAAGGGCGAGTCATATATGGTGAGTACACAGCTCATGAATCACTGTGTTCAGGCTGGTAAGTAGCACTTCAAACCGGTGAAGCAAGGGTGCCCTTCTTGAACGCACAACATCGTAGTCAACCTGCGCTGGCGCTGCTGCTGGTGGGAGGAGAACTCAGCAAAGGCGAAGGGCAGCGAGGCGGGGGGAAAGGCGGAGAGCAGCAGGAAGTGCAATCTGAGCCGTTGAATCTTGGAGGGATCGCGGGTGAGCGTGGCAGGGCAAACAAGCCCGATCACCCAATGTCGCTCAATGTCGGGCGGAGGGGCACAGGGGTTGCTGCAATGGGTTCAAGGTTCAGGGTATGAGGAGAAAGGAATGGCGGAATAAGGAAGGAAGCACAGTGAGGTGACACGAGCACAAGGCAACGGCTCATAGCAGCGTCACTCAGGTGACTGCAGGTCAGATGCACATAGCAGCCACAAGGCACGGGCACGTAGCAGCGGCATATAGCAGCAGCGCATAGCATCCAGTGACGGCTGAGGGCTCACAGGGATCACAGACCGGGGATGAAGGGGAACGGGGAGGGCGAGAGGAGGTGTTATGTACAAAAGAAACAAGCCCAGCATGGCAGCGGCACATAGCAGCAACGCACAGCAGCATGAGGTGACCGGTTGAGGCTCACAGAGATTGCAGGCCGTGGATGAATGGAGTGGGGAGAACACCGCTCATGCTGCCACCGCCATGTGCATGCATGACGTCGCACAGAACCGGCACGCTCACTGCCACGTCAGCATGCATGCCGGTGACTGCTGACGTGGCAGCAGTGGCACCGGAAGGGGCAGCCGCAAGGGAGGCGAGGGTGAGCGGCAGCCAGTCGTGGTAGAACTGGTGCAGCAGCTGGTCCGCCTCGTCCACCACCTGATGGGGGCAAGACATGATGCAGGCGATGAAGGGGGTGCACGGAGGGAGGCATGGGGAGGCATGGGGATGCATGGGGGGGTATGGGAAGGCATGGGGAGGCATGGGAAGGCATGAGGAGAAGCGGAGGGGGGAATGAGGAGAAGCGGAGGGGGGAATGAGGAGAAGCGGAGGGGGGAATGAGGAGAAGCGGAGGAGGGAATGAGGAGAAGCGGAGGGGGGAATGAGGAGAAGTGGAGGGGGGAATGAGGAGAATCGGAGGAGGGAATGAGGAGAAGCGGAGGGGGGAATGAGGAGAATCGGAGGAGGGAATGAGGAGAAGCGGAGGGGGGAATGAGGAGAAGCGGAGGGGGGAATGAGGAGAAGCGGAGGGGGGAATGAGGAGAAGCGGAGGGAGGAATGAGGAGAAGCGGAGGGGGGAATGTGGGGAAGCGGAGGGGGGAATGAGGAGGAGCGGAGGGGGAAATGAGGGGAAGCAGGGGGGGAAATGAGGAGAAGCAGAGAGGGAAATGAGGGGAAGCAGTGGGGGAAATGAGGGGAAGGAGGGGGGGGGGGAATGAGGGGAAGCAGGGGGGGAACGATGAGAGAAGAGGGGGAAACGGGGGGAAGCAGCGGGGTAAATGCGGGGAAGCAGAGGCGGACATGAGGGGAAGCAAAAGGAGAAATTAGGGGAAGGAGAGGCGGACATGAGGTGAAGCAAAAGGAGAAATTAGGGGAAGGAGAGGCGGACATGAGGGGAAGCAAAAGGAGAAATTAGGGGAAGCAGGAGGTTAAATATAGGAAAATCAGGGGGCTGGAATAGGGGAAGTAGGGGGGAAACCAGGGGAAGCAGGGGAGTAAATGAGGGAAGAAGAGGGGGGAATGAGGGGAAGCAAACGGGGAATGAGGGGAAGCAGAGGGAATAGAGGGGAAGGTAACAAGAGGGAATAGAGGGGAAGGTAACAAGCAGCGGGAGTGGAGGCGCGAGGAGGGGCAGCGCGACGAGGGTGTTGGCGCGCTGATGGCAGGGGAGGCGCGGCGAGGTGATCGGAGGCGCGGCGAGGCGAGCGGAGGCGCGGCGAGACGAGCGGAGGCGCGGCGAGACGAGCGGTGGCGCGGCGAGGCGAGCGGAGGCGCGACGAGGGGAGCCAAGGCGCGGTGAGGCAAGCGGAGGCGCGGCGAGGAGAGCGGAGGCGCGGCGAGGCGAGCGGAGCCACGACGAGGCGAGCGGAGGCGCGACGAGGTGAGCGGAGCCGCGACGAGGGGAGGCTCCCAGAAACGAGCGGGCGTGACGATGGGACAGGGGGCGCGGCGATAAGAGACGCAACTACGGGAGGCGAGGCACAAAATTATTTTGTATGCGCGGGTGAAGTTCCTAAATTCTGCGTATTTTACTATGCTACGATGCGCTGTCGGGATGTTTTCTGGGTAGTACTAACACAAGACTGGTGAGGTTGGCTACTCGTTTGGTTGGTTAATTGGGTTGGTTTGTCGCACACAAATACCGATATTGAGTGACGGATTCCCAATCCCCTCGCAGCCTGATCTCGCTTTCGCCCCGCCCATATTCCCGAAATGAACTTTTTTGCTTTTCGCCAACACGTTTAAAGCCCTTCAGAAAATTTGCCAAAAACCATGCTGACCTCGGGCTTTAATTGCCAGTAATTCGGGGGCGTGGCATACGGATGTTTCATGTTTCCTGTACTTCGTTAGGAATGGTATTTTCTGCAGCAAAGCAGAGAAACAAGGAAATGTTAATTTGGGGTGTCTGTTCTGACAGAAATCAAATCAAAACGGCATCAGCACCAGCACTGTCGATTCTAGCACAAATACCCTTCATTCATTGTACATTGAGGGCTATCGTACTCAATGTTTTCAAGAATTGTACGTGCATGAGAACATCACAAGCCCCGGAAGACCTCCCACTTGTATTCTTAGACATCAAGTGCGAAGTTCATGCTGCATACCGCTAATAATGCCTTCTAAGCAACACCTGTAACCAAATTCCCGCCCGTTTTGATGGTATTTACTGTAGCCATCTTTCTATGGTTAAGACAAATCTATAGTAGAATCCTCTACTCCTTCACCGTGTGTTCTGAACAGCCCTGCGATACGTTTATTCAGTGCCGAATGCCCGACTTCCAGCTTTGTACGGCTGGTTTCAAACCAATCTTTCACCAAAGATCATGACGTTGAAGACACAGTAATACAGTAACGTGAGACAGTGACCTCGAGGCGACGAAAACTGCCACTGGCGTGGACGCATAACGACGAATCACGCATGTCCGTGTGGCAACTGTGAACTCCAGCCCAGTCAACGTGAAGCTGGGAGCAGGACCCTATTTTTCGTGTTGGTGGACCGCTCAAGTGTACCATTTCTAGGTTTGGGATGGCCGGGTGGCTCCATTTCTATCATTTTCTCTAGAAAAACTGTGCTAACCTATTTTCCTCCTGGTCCTGCATAGAGGGTTTTGACGCCACAGGCGTCCCCTCCATCCATCCTGCCCTTCGTGCCTCGTGGCTTTTTAGCAACCCATTCCGTCCACCATAGGTGCTCTCACCATCTTAGAGCGCTCTCCCAATGAACGCTGGGGGATATCCCCTCGGGGATAGGGGAATAACGTGTTGTGACGTCTTCCTTATAGGCTGTTGGTCCTTGTGCCATATTCCATGCTTGCTCTATGTATGTTTGTAAACAGGTTATGACCTTAATATAACCTAACCTTAACCTGCATACAAGGGGGCACAAATGGCGCCTAAATTTCTCGTTGGCAAGTCCAAGAAATCATGTTTCCCTAGAACTGTCTGAACCGATCATTCCACAGGCTGATGGATGGTCACCTGTATTGGTAGGCTTGGCAACGCACAGTATGAAACTATTCCACACATACCACTGGTTAACATGCAGTCTGATTAAATGAAAAAAGTAATACAGGCTACAATGTGGAGAGGCCTACGACTCTTTGAACTGAGAAAGGGCTTCTTTAGTTGCTGCTGACACGACAGCGTCAGAGGCGTTTGGCAGGTAGTAGTATTTTCCTGAAGGTCACAAAGAAAACACACCACCAAAAGTAACGAATGAGTGATGAGATTGGAAACCTGATTCTTGAGCCATACCGTTAGTGCATGAAGTCTGTGCACACCTGACACGCTTTCAGAGTCACATTCTCCTTGGCGAATTCTGCCCTCTCATGCTTTACTTGCACATTTAAATATCCAACCTAAAAATCGGGGCTTACCATTGGCAACGAGAGCCATCTCCTTGGCGAATCATGGAGATGAACTTGTGCTGAGATGCCAAACCTGACCACCTGCCCACCTGACTATACATCCACCACATTGATCAACAGACCTCATGGGATTAGGGGCTTACCGTTCGCAACACGAGCCATCTCCTTGGCGAATCCTGTCGAGATGAATTTGTTCTCCGAGTCGATCACGAGCAGAGACATGCCATACTTGAGGATCTTGCTTGAAATGTCCAGAATCTCGTCCTGTAACAGAAGGGGAAGTGAACACAGAGAAACACGTGTTGGAAACGTGTGTGCGAACAGCAAGCAAAGACCATGCTATGGGAACAACAAGAAACACTTGTGTCAACATGCGCACAATCAAGCAGCACTGGTAAAGTCAGAATACTTTAACACTGGTATCGATGGCTGGAGAACGCTGCGCAAGCAACCCCAAACACAGCTGGAAGCATGCAAGAAAAGCACAGGTCGGCACACTCCCAGTCAGCATAGTGCCAGTACTAGTTGCAGCAGCAAGCAAGCAGCAGGCACAGAGGAGCAAGAAGAAAGAGAAGCAGTAGGGCCTCAGGTTGAAGACTGAGATTGGGTTGTCTCCGCACAGACAGACAGACAGCAGATGCTGCAGCTGCCTTGGTAACTAGAGTTTGCAATCCTTGGCCCTCTGTGAAAATCAATCCAACCTCCAGTGGCAGCAGAGCACAGTGAGCAGTGCAGCGAGCAGCCTACAGTAGTGCTCACAGAACAGGGAACAGTAGACAGTGGGCAGTGCAGTGCAGGGGACAAAGACGGCAACAAGCGGTATGTCTGTGCCAGCAACAGTGAACCCCAACGGAGACTAAGCAGGCCTCAGACAAAATGTGATTCTTGGGTTGTCAAACACAGCAGGGCTTAGCCCAACTCTGGTTGGTCAATGGAGTGGATTCGCATCACAGGCCGGCTGGCGTCTGTGACCGTAGCTGTAACCGTACAGGGTGCAAGTGTGCCAACCACTGAAGCAACTGTGCAGCTGTGCTAGTCTGTGTAAACGAAACAGTGTCAGGTGCTCCCGTTGCAATTCAGGGTGTGGTGGCATGAATAAAAACAAAACCATCCCTCCCTCCATCACAGCCATCCGCCACACAATCAAATTGACGAAAGCTGCTGGCGAGAAAGAGATGAACAGCTGGCCTCAGTCAAGGTTGATTCTGGGTGATGTGGTTCTCAGCACCGCAGGGCTCAGCCCCGCTCTGATTGGTGCATGAAACAAGTGTTGCATCACCGGCCAACTGCTTTACCCAATTCCAAACATATGACTCAAGCAACCTCATTCCTAGGTAAAACACCCCCCTCTCTTGTGTGAGTATGGATGTAATATGTTTGCACGTACCTTAAGCTCCTGCTGTGTGGGCTTGGGTGCGTCCGGCCCCACTGCCTCCACCTCCCCGAGCGACCGCTTGAGCGACACGTTGGCACGGCCGTCCGTGATGGCGACAATCATCACTCGCCCCACCTCCCCGCCCTTCTCCGCATTCAGCCCCACCCGCACAGCCTGATGGGATCAAGGCAAGGGTAGAGGCAGGGGGGTGTGAGGAGAGCATGAGAGCTGTGTTCAAAGGGCCGTCTGTGATGGCAACCCACCTCCCCACTCTTCTCCGCGTTCAGACCCACCTGTCCCTGACGGGACCCACCCATAGACCTGATAAGAGACTATAACACCCTCTCTACTTCGCCAAATATAGGTTTGCTCTGTACATCCATGCAAACAGCATTGCGGTGGCTGTTACCACCAGTCAGGCCTCAGTCAAGGTTGATTCTGGGTGATGTGGTTCTCAGCACCGCAGGGCAAGCCCAGCTCTGATTGGTGCATGAAACAAGTGTCGCATCACTGGCCAGCTGGTGAAAGATGGTGGAGAGCGTGTGGTTCATTGTGACACAGGGTGAGGGTGTAGAACAGCTGGAATCAAAGAGGGGGCCATGAGGCAACTGGGAGGGGCGTATACGGGCTTGAACATTAAGTAGGGGGCATGTGGCGGCTGAGCGGGGAGGTGTGATTACGGAGAGTGACAACCAGGCATAGAGGGATACCAGGGGAAAGGGAAAAGCGAGATGGCTGGGAAGAGAGCGAGACATGGGAGCGAGGGTGGGGAGGAATTGGGGGGTTAAGGGGGATAGGCGGGGGTTGGTGTAGGCCAAAGGAGGGAGAATCAGGGAATGGAAAGAAGCAAGGAAGGGATGGACTGGGAAGACCAGACGGAGCGATATGGTGCAAGACGTTGGGATGGATGGTGACGGAGGAGAGAGCAGCGAAGAGCAGAGCAGAACAGAGCAGAGCAAGCAGACGCACCGTGGAGAGGCCGTGGGCGAGGGGGGAGCCACCACCACAGGGCAGCTTGTCGAGTCGCTTCTTTGCCATGGCAATGGAGCGAGATGGCGGCAGCAGCACCTCTGCTGCCTCTCCGCGGAAAGGGATGATGGCCACCTGCAGACAGGGCAATGCAGGGGGGGGGGAAGTTCAAATACGGG